TAATTATCACGTTAATCCGTTAAGCTATTATGTAAACTGTCAAATATCTCTAGATATAGAAAACCTTAGGCCAGGTATGTCTTACATTTAAAATAATAAAAAAAAATTTATAATCCTCTGCACTTTCATACTCACTCGTTCAAGTCTCTTTTATAATATTATTGATTATCCTTAACAATATTATAAATTATAATATTACTTATTATGTGAGAATAATATATAATAATAATTAATAATTATACTGTAGATACCTTCTAGCAAGATGTTTATAGATTATTATGGGTATCCTCAATATTGGAGTTCCTTAAAATTATAGTATTAATATAAAAATAATAGTTATGTTATTTATTTAGTTATTCTAAATAGTTCATTTTTTATTTAAATAAATTATAAATAGTAATGTGTAACGCAGCCACCGTATTTCTAAATATTTCATTATTGACAAAAACAAATTATAAAATTGTCGACCGTATAAATTCTTTAGAGCTTAGATAATTAAAATAATATATTGAATTATAAGATAACTAATACAAAATAAATATATTATGACATACATTTGATTTATAATTAAGAATATTAGCAGGCAATGTACATTGTAAGTATGATTGCCAAAGATGTTTGTGAACATTGTAGACAATGTTTGTGCATACTTGGTAAATACAATAAAATTAATGTAGGCAACATAATTTAAAAGCAGTAGTCAAATAATCAGTTAATATTTTTAACAATAAATTACAGTATTTGGTGGAGAAAGTGTATTGTGTATAGTTACATGGTAAATACAAAGTAAAATTATATGTATATACCTAAATAAATAATTATATTGTATTATTACACAATAAACATGGGTAACAACTATAAGTAGGTAGGTACATTTATAATAATGCATATTTCAACAAAACAATTCATATCATATGGGATACAAAACTGAAAACACGCCATGTGGTTAATTAAATACTATATAGTTACGTATATATTATGTGTGTGTGGATGTGAGTGTTTTAATAGTGAAAATTATAGGTACTTTCTTTCCTGCAGATACTGCAGCATGCACATCATGTGCACTCGCGATTTATCACAAAAGAACCCGGCAACTTGTACAATGCCGATAATTGTTAAATCACCGGTTATGATATTGAAAACCTGTTTATAAACTAAAAATCTAATGAATACTCATCACCGCTGCACGATGTTTTGAATCCCGATATTACCTGTACAGGTAAATAAGTGAGTATGGTATATCCATTCAAGCGCATTGAGTTGACTATAGTCCTCTGAGCAAATACTATACATAAATACAATTATGATAAATTATAATACACCATCATATAAAATGACAGCTTGTATAGTATAGCTAAAGTGTATTGCGTTATATTTAGCCGTCCCATTTAATAACCAGATGATCCTTAAATCGCTCTAGTTTGTTGATACATGGTGTTTTAACGTCAAGAATAATTTTATGAAACGTGCATATTTTACAGGCAGTATAAAGACGTAGTGTATTGTAGTATTAAATTTGCCGTTATAATAATTTGATAATGATACGTCTATCTAACCTACTGCGGCTCGAAATAAGTAAAATTAAGCGTTTCGTGCCTATATACGTAGGTATATTATAATGATAATATTGTATTACTATACCGTCATAAAAAAAAACTTTTTGACGGCGTATATAGCTTCGGTAAACCATAATAATTTTTATCGTACACGTCGTACAGCATAATTTAACCTTCGTGATAGACAGATTAAAATAATAGTATGCGGACAGTAATTAATGTTTGAACTCCATCGGCGGTGTGGATGAGCTTCCATATTTGACCTGGTCCACCTTTGGGGATCTAACCCCGGTGCGGTTGTAGACGGTATATTAAAATGTCGTCCTATACTCCTATACAAACTTGTTCAGAGTAAATGTTATTTTCGATAATGAATTATTCAATGACTTCCAAAAACATCGAGAACAACCGTTGAAAACACGATACTGTTTATTTTTTTCAATAATTTATATAAAGGCAAAACGGTCTTATGTGTACAATACTTTATTCATTAGTGTTTTCTTAGGTGAAAAGAATGACCCTACTTTAATACAACAAATTTTCTCACATCAACAGCCCTATCGATCATATTCAGTCTGACAGTAGTCCACGTTTCACAAACTATATACAATAAGTTCAATTTATTCAAACCGATCCATATAATATTTATATATATTATGAAGTAGTAAACATTTTTTTTTCTTAAAAAGAAGGGAGTTTGTACATTTTTTTCTTTTCAATATACTTGTAAGTAAATAATATAACAGATGTTAAAGATAATTTAAAAAAAAAATATGAAATTAATTATTTAACATTTAAAAACATAAATTTTAAATATTGTCATTTAAAAATAATATTGCTTCATATTAGTTAGAATGAAAGGTACATATTATTCTACAATATTTTCCGGACATTGTAAGATATTAAATGTATTAATACGCTGATAAAAAGTGTTTAATAACTGTTATAATGTTAGGTTTTTGAGCGTAAGTTAAGTTAGTGTATAGTAATAAAACAAAAGTACAACAATTTTAGGTAAATGTATAAAATAATGATTAATTAATTAAAATGTTCATGTGAAATGTGTAAAGCAAAATTGTTACAAACAAAAAGGAGTGAGTACAAAAAAATAAACTCAATGTATTTTGTTTTATAGTTGGATATAATCATACATTTGAATTTATTAAATTATAAACGATTTTGAATTAACTTGAGTATGTACTTCAGAATTATAAATTTAAATTTTAAGTACTTAACTTTTAAGATACCTTAATATAGGTACCTGGTACCTAATCGTACTTTAAAATGTATATATTATTTAGTTATAATATAGATTGGAGGAGTTTTTTTAATAGCAACGTTGGCTTATTTTTATTAAGAGTCCAAGCACGGTACTGACGTGATAACAACATAAATTCTAAATTAAAATCATAACACATTATTGAACAGCTAAAAAGAGAGTCCATCATTGATTCACATTTAACATCGAAATGATTTACGATTCGATGGATTTTAGGGGCTGTAATCATTATACTCGAGGGTGAGGGTAACTATTGCAGTATATTCGGTAGTCATAACAGTGTTTATTCACGCCACTTATACGGAAATCCCACAAACGTCGGCAAATCGAATCATGTTTTGTTTTTAGATATCTAATCGTTTCAATTATCCTTTTTTATTAACAACCTTTTTTGTTAATTTCGACCTGTCCTCTGTTTTATAGGTAGGCACCTAAGGCGGTCGGCAGAAGCGGCGTCGGCGATGACTACTATAGTATACGGCCGGTGAGAAACTCCGATTTATCTGGCGGTGTACACACAAAAACACGATAATGATAAATCGACACGGTCAAACCCTCAACCGAATGTCAAACACAAATTGATGGGTTATTCGTCTGGGAAAAACAATACCACGCTAATAATTTATACGTACGGGAAGTCCATTTCATACAGAACAATCAAAACTGTTTCCCGAAGTCTGTCTGGTGTGGTAGAAAACGTTTAAGAAGTTTCAAGTCCACAAGAGTTAATTATATTAGCGATCGTTTATAATTTGTTTCAATGAAGAAAAATTTAATAGGTATACACTTCGGTATACACGTAATAGTCGGTGGCGTCAGTAAGTTAATCACAATTCACAGTGTTACTGTTCTCTTAAATACTGCTGCAGTAATGGTAGTTATAAGTGTTTATTTATAATTGAATATTTCGTTCTATTATTATAAAAATATAATCACTCTATAGTTTATAATATTGTAAATTTGCTTCATATTTTTTTATAAAACGTCTTCACGTGTAAAGTTGTGATATTATAAAAATACTATAAAAATAATAATTTGACAACAGCTATTCTTTGAGGGTACTTACTGGGTTTATGTGAAAAGTTACCATATAGAGTATGAAGTATTTTATTAAAAAAAAAACGGTAGGCTTCCCTCCCCCTATATGTGATTCAAACACACAATAAACGGGGTGAATTTAAATTTATAAAGTGATAAATGAAGTAACACATGTATGAGTAGTCGAAAACTTTTGATGTGTTCTTTCTTCTTATGTGCACAGCATGGCAGTTGGAAAATTATTTTTATAAGTATTAAATTATGTATAAGTACAAAAGTAGGTAATATTAAAACATCATCAGTAAATAATATAATTAATCGTAAATACTATAATAAGGTCAGCGAAAATGTTTTCATGATTTGACAAAATAATGTATATAGTACCAATCATATAGGTACAAATTATAATTAGGTATTGGATATTCCTACTTACCCGGGATCCGTCAAATTATTTCAGGAAAAAATAACGTAAGATTAAAATTCTTGGATATATATAAAACTGTATTCATAATTAGTACATAAATGTTTTTTTTAGGGGGAACCCGAGGCAACATAGGCTATTGGGTGTAGGGTAATACGGTAGGGTTTTTTTGTTCATTTTTCATAAATAGTTATATTATAAATTAGCTCATATATAGTTGACTACTATTTTTTTAGTTATAAAGTATAAGCATATTATCTGAGTGTCTCAACTTTTAAAACTGATCACTAAATTCCATTTTATAGAACAAATATAGTATACTTGAGCCGACGACACAATGTGAAACTATACAACTGCTGAGCTAGTGTCCCTTGTCAAAACAAAGTTTACGGCCTAAACAATATGTATACGGAATGCAATGTCAAACTTTCTTAGACATGTTGTGTAAGTATATACACTTATCCGTAAAATTTAGATATAATATGGGAATTGTGCTTCAAAATATGATATATATAATTTGTATGACGTATAATATTACCCTATTGTCGGTTTCTAGGAGATTACATGGTAAAAACAAAAAACCTTTTCTTAGAAGGCGCTCTAAGAACTTCTGATATTTCAACGTTCGCATAATGTACGTCAAAGTACGTGTATCCGGTAAATGTGGCGGTTAGCTTACGCACAATAATTTATTCATGGAACTTACCTTGATGGTTGTTCTTCCTTGTGGTCTTTTTCTCCTTCATCCAAGGATATTCTTGCTGTCCACCGCCTCCGCCGGCGCCGACCCCACCGCCACCGACGCCGATCTGCTGGTCAGCCTGCATCTGGTACATGGCGGCGGCCGCTGCGGCGGCGGCAGCGACTTGGTGGTGTTGCTGCTGGTGTTGAGGATCCACCGGTGATACGTTCTCGTTACCGCCACCACCGCCTCCCATCTGCACATGGTGCATCATGTAGTCCGGCACGGCGGCGGGTTGATAGTCGGCCGCGTGGTGGTCCATCTGCGGCCCGGCCGCGGACACGGCCGCCATCCAGAACCCGTTGCCATCCTGCAGACCGGCGGCCACCGGCGAGTCCTTCATGGCCATGGCGGTCGCCGCGTACATGTCTCCCTTGCGATCGCCACCGCCGCAATCATCATCGTCGTCGTCGTCGTCGGCGGCCGTGGCGGCGTGCAGGGCGTCGGCCAACATCTGCGGGCCGCCAAACGCGCCCAACATTAGCTGCTGCTGTTTGCCGGGTCGCAGGTCGGCCTCGGTGTTTTTTAACATCATTCCGAACACGCGGCGACGGTATTTTTCACTCGAAAATCGTTGTGTTATCTCCAATATCACCGCACGATAATATTATACAAATTATCACGATTATCGCGATTGATATATCGGTGGCGTGTGATGTGTATAATAATAGATATAACTGCAATTTATAGTATAGTCGTAGGACCCAGTAGTAGTAATGGTAGCTGTTATAGTATTAGTATAGTAATAGTAGTAGTATTTATAATAGGTGTAGTAAAGTGGTAGTATTTTACAAATAATTTTACATCGATAGCAGTATATAATGATAATATTTTAGTCGTTGTACAATATATTATAATGTAATATTTAATAATTTCAGTACCGAAAAAATATTTTAGTAACGGTTTTCACGACGCGGCGTATAACGACGGCAATTAATTACGAAAACGAAATAAAACTCGCGCACATTCATCGCACCATCATCACGCCCGTACAATAATTCCATATAGGTACAGCACTGGCTGCAGAAAAACCGTCGTTTAGCAGACGTCGTGGTCGAACGTAGTCCGCCGACTGTCGGCCATCGGACGCGTATGTCGATGTCGTCGTCGTCGTCGTCGCAGTCGCAGTGGCCGCAGTCACAGCAGAGTGTACAGTGCCAGTTGCGGCGGATGAGGCGATACGCCGACGATGGCGCGCGACGGACCGATAGTTGTATTATTATTATTATTATTCCCGTTCCCGGCACTACCGCACGCCGCGCGGAGCACACAAACCGTACGCCGTGCGCCTGCGCCTCGATCGGTACGACGGGGCCGCCTTTTCTTCGCCGCCACCGCCGCTGTCAGTCACCACCACCACCACCGCCGCCGCCACACAGCAGCCGCAGCCGATGATTTTTCCCGCGCACCACCTGTCAATCATTATACACACACGCGTGCGCGCGCCAACGTTTTACTTTACACTCTCGTGTATACAGTTTAATAATATTATTATTTAATATGATATTTATTATATTTTAATATTGGATATACATAGGAGTTAAAATATATAAGACAAATATGTTTATATTTGGCGCCTTTTCCTTTCGTCATACTATCTAAATCAACCACCCAAAACAAGCTCCCACTTCCGCAACTTGTCGATTATTAGGTTCATGTCTAAATGTCTAGTTTTACATTAATTATTGAATTCATATTTTATTTTATCCACTTTCGGGCGAAAAATCAAAAGTTTATTATACTGCTGTCGAATTTGATACCATTTCAATTATATTTTAGACCACCCGAACTCCGAAGACGAAGTCTACTTTTATGCTATAGGTATAAGGTATAACCGGTATAGGGTACTTATACTCTGTATAATATAATAAATTATTATTATACCATAACTGATGCCACTATCACGTCCGCGGCAGTTGCTATGCGTGAAGATTCATCTAAAAAGGGTTTTCTCGAAAATAAATGAAAATATTTTCAAAATATATATTTTTTTTTAGTTGGTTTTATTCTTATAAAGATATTATATTCCTTGTGAAGTTCTAAGAAAAAAACACATTTGTAATCAGTAGGTAGTTGCTTATTGATATACCAAGCGTATAACGCATTCATTAATTACAATTTAATTTGTATGTATAAAACTATAAATAAAGACTACAAAGCTACTTGGTTCTTGAAATGATATGACCTATCCCAACAACTAACAAGTAATGAAATCATAGGTGCCATGTGTCTATTAATGAGTGTTGTTATATAATTAACAGAAGGTATAGCTAGCATATGCAGGGCAATTCAAAATTTATGTTATGGCCATTGTATCATAAAAATATTCAAAATAGTGAACAATTTATAATACAAAAGTTTTTTGATATAGAAACATCTATTATGATTTCATAATTTTATAACTACATACAATATTTTAGGGGGGTTTTGTGGGGTCAACTTTTGAAATTCAAATGGAAACCTGTGTAACAAGACCCTATTGGCCCTATTTTGATGTAAATCGTATATTATAATAAAAGGCAAAGTAAAAACCATTACATTTCTGAAAATGGTTTTGAAGAAACATTTTGCGTATTATCAATTATTTGAAGAGGTTATTAGGGTTACGGGATATACTCAGTATATCCGATATAGTAATGACGACCTAGTGTAAGGTAACGGATATCAAATTCTGATTTACTTTGTTTAGCCTCTTCTCGCCCCCTCCCACCATTGAAAAATCCCGGGTACGCCTCTGATTATAGGTAGGTAAGTACAACGAATATGTTCCCATTTTTAAATTGATCTTAATATTATAAATTGCAGTATTATAGGTTTCTATAACACGTATATGTTAATGCACCAATAAATACATATTTATTTAAATAGAGATGTTTTGGGTAGATTATTTATTAACAAACCGAGTCCAAGGTATTGATCAAGTAATAATTTGCATAAATACCGCATGCACCAAGACGTATGAGCCGAGCAAAATCAGAAAACAGGTCTCGAGTACCAACTACTGGTCCAGTAAAAATATAAATTATAAAATCTGAGACTCGGGTATTATGTTATACGCCATGATGGTCAGTATTCAAGTATAAAGGTAAGAAAATGAAAATTGAGTACCTATATTTAAATAATTATATAATATATAGGTATTGCAGGCATATGCAGGTATATTACATTACAATTCTATCAATTATAATTTAATGTTTTGAATAGAACGTCAATCCCTAAATTTTAAACAATTTTTTAATTTTTATCATCGTGGATTCAGTCAGGTCAATGTATACCTAAATATTTTATACCATCACATCGGCACTTTGTGCTTGCATGAGTTAAATTAATATTGTGAGGAAAAATTGTGTATTCTCTTCATTGTTAAAATATATACATCATAATATATCTGTACATTTTACCTAGCTTCGTAGGTTCTTATGTAGGTGTATGTTTATTCTTTCAATATATTATATAGACATAATACAACTAATTAAATAGGTAACTATACAATATTAAAATTTACCTACTCTAATTAACAATTGATGTACCTAAGTATATAACCGAGAATAAAACAAGAATAATCCATACGGATTTTGTACCTATATGTGAATGTGAAAACAAAAAATTAATAAGTTAATAATATTCGAGCTACGAAATATAATGCATAGGTATAGCTATAAAAATATTGGTACCGTTTGGAATGTGATCTATTTTTTTGAATATTTGACGAATTTCCTGTAGCGACAAAAACTTCCGTTGGATGTGTATAGTGTAAATAGTCTTTTATACATATTAATATATTATTTAACTATTTTACATTAAAATATTATATAATATTATAGAACTTGGAGCTTGTAATATCATACACCAGGCCGCCACAACGACGATGTTTTAAATGATCCACACGCACGATCAGTCGCTAGGTGGTCGATGTTGTGATTGTATTTTTTTTCTCTCCTGACCGTCGCTCCTTAAAAAATAAGCCCCCCATCCACCGAGACAACCGTCACCGGCGTAGACAATGAACGCCGCCACGTACAGGTGACGTGCTGTGCATGTGTACGTACATGTGTGTGTGTGAGTGCGTGGGCCGTGGCGAGGGCCGCGCGGGGTCGGGCCAACCGGCCAATCAGCGACACGCGGTCCGACTGCAAACCACTCCTCCACCGCGTCGTTCGTCCGTTTCGGTTCCGACTGCGCGTTCGTACGCCGCCGGTATCGTCGCACTATTATTATTATAGTCATGTCTTTCGGTAGTCGACCACACCGACGGTTTTCTCAAGTCTGACTCCGGTCGAGACACTTAAACAAAACGGAAAACGTGTTTATAACAATATGCCCGAAACTTTGTCGAATGCAAAGCCATTATAATATATAATATAGGCACCTAATATTATAGTAGTATTATTCTTTAACCACTTTATTATTATAATATTATATCACAGGTACCAGTAGATTTTTTAAATACCGAAATACAACATCTACACGAAAATAATATGATATGCCTACTTACCTACTTTACCTACGTGATTATTAATTATTATAATATTATAGATAGCAATAATATGTACCTATCGTTGATATTAATAATATCGCATATTTAGCATAAAGTCGTACTACTTGTATGTACGATACTACGATGCACCTAATACCTATATATACATATATATTGTTACACTGGTTTGTTTATATTATTTTAAACAGGTTAAATGAGATACTAAAATGAGTAAAATGTCTAAGGCATATGTAGAATAATAATATTTTTTTATTTACAGAAAACTTCATTCTACTCATGACATGTGACGTATGTATCTATATTCTATACGGATGTTGAAAATATCTGCTAGTATGTATAGGGTGTATTATATTATAATGCACCTTTCGAGAGTTTATTGGATTTGTATCGAATATTATATTATGTTATTATAATATACATAATACCTATTATATAAATATGTGTTATACTGTAATAGTACAATGTGTTAAATTCTTTTTCTGGGTTCATCGAAGATCGATATTGTAGCTTAATATTGTCATATAATATGATGTATTTTCTTATAATTTAATTAAATAAATATATCCGTTATATTTTTAGAAGCAAATTATGGTATTCGTAAATAACTTTATTCTGACCTGCAATATTTATAGATATTAAACATATATTTTTTAGTAAGGATGCAATTTGGATTAGGAACATAATAAAATAAAAGATGTGAAATTGTATAGGTGCAGAAAAAACAAAACAAATAAGTCATATTTTTCAAAATATTATAGTGTTTTTAATATCAGTATATAAGTACCCTACTACCCTATATTATAATAAATACATAGATAAATATAGGTAATTACCTATTACTAATTATTATACCCACAAGATCAAATTATATAGTCACATTTTGAAATCTATATAATAAAAAAAATGCCAGAATAGCTATACATATTATATAAGTGATTTTTAATTTGACAAACATATATTATATTAATATTACCGTAACTACCAAATGTATACCTACTTACTAAAAAAATTATTTACTATTTGAAAATATATTCAGACAGAATGTTTTAATGGACAGCTGCAGTTAGAAGGGTGCTGCATCAAAATAACGGTGTCTGTGCGTCTTATAACCTAAAGATATGTTATTATATGCGTAGGTAGGTATAAGTAGTTTTACTTATTATATTTCATTGGATTGTGACAACAATGAGCGCATTTGAAAAATAGTTTTGAGTGAATCACCTAAAATTTATAATGGTTT